TATCGAAAGTTAATTTCATTTCTATTAAATTTCTATTATTATGAATGAACATTTTATCATTTCAAATATTATTTCCTTCTCTCTCTCTCTCTCTCTCTCTCTCTCTCTCTCTCTCTCTTTCTCTCTCTCTTATAAATGGATACATTTGGAAAAGAAAAGAAAAGAAGACCTCGACTCGATAATCCAGTTTTCAATTTGGAGAATGACAAGAGGAGACTTCAACTCTTTTCCTCCACCCATCTGATGGCGGATGGATTGACCAAGATGAAGAAGAAGAAGAAGAAGAAGAAGAGGGGAAGGGGGAGGAATAAGAAAGAGAATAAGAAGAGTAAGCAGCAAGAGCAGAAGCAAGCAGCACGTGAAAGGGAACCGCTCGTAGAGAGAAAGAGAAAGAAAAAGTAAAAGAGAAAGAGAAAGAGAGAAAGAAAGAGAGTTTGGAACGGTTCGCAGAGCAAGAAGACCGACAGGAAATAAAAGCACCAGATCACCGAAGAAATCTCTTCTGCCTTTACCCCCCTAGTCCTTTACCTACCTACCTTCCTCCTCCTCCTCCTCCTCCTCCCCCTCTTGTCCTCCTACTACTACACTACTACTACTACTATTATTACTATCTGTACACGAGTTGGAAGCGAGTTTATACATCAAGCGTGGATGAAGTAAAATAAAATGTATACGTGAAACGTTCGAACCGACAGGAATAAGAAAGAAAGAAAGAAAGAGAAAGAGAGAAAGAGAGAGAGAAATTGACGTGGTCCAGATAGGAATAAAAAGAAAGAAAGAAAGAAAGAGCAAGGAGGAAGGAGTCAGAAGAGAATGAGTGTGTGTGAGAAAGAAAGAAAGATAGTACGAGTGTAGTTGGTTGGTTCTCTAACGTTTCAGAGTCAGAGAAGTAGAAATAAAGAAAGAAAGAGAAAAAGAAAAAGAACGAGAGAGAGAGAGAAAGATAACTGCGAACTTCAGAAATGTCATATCCGTCAGTGTCGGTGAGTTCTCTGGCTCCTTCTGGTGGGGCAACCGGTTTGAAAGGAGAGAAGAAGAACGAACGCGTGTGCGATTCGACGACGAGCAAGTATTGTCCAGAAAGAAATTTGTGGTGTCCCCTCCCTATTGGGAGGAGGTCCAAATCAAAAAGAAAAAGAGATAGATAGATAGATAGATAGAGAAAGAAAGAAAGAAAGAAAGAAAGAAAGAAAGAAAAAAAGTTCGATCAGAGAACATCGAATCTCCCGGCGCAATGGCCGGGAGAAAAGGTTGATGATAAGTGTGTGTGTGTTTGTGTGTGTATGTATCAAATATAAGAAACTTTTACCACAATCGAATCTGTGTATATATTGTAGTTTATAAGAGAAAAATCGAGAATAAAACTAACTTGGTTGCAGCGCCACGATTTATGTTATAACATACTTGATAAAGATTTTTAATGGGTGCGTGCACGGGGCTATTGGCCCAGTTGATCGTTCATTCGTTTATTCGTTACTTTCGCCACTATCCTTTTTTTCTTTTTTTTTTTTTTTATACCCTTGGAAAAAATAAATAAATAATGAAATTTCACTTATTATTATCACGTTCTATTTATCAATCAAAATGTGATCATCAGTATATTCGTTAAATATAATAAAACAAGTTGAGATAATAATTCGTTGTAAAATTGTAAGAAACATTAATATAAACAAATTTTTCCTCCCCATCGGGGTATATATATTTTGATAATCAAAAAAAAAAAGAACTATGAAAAATTCTCAGAGAGAGAGTCCCCAGTATTAACGAAATTGCATTTCTTGTCAATAAGCAAAAGTACACTATCTCAAAGAATTCATTTATTTCTTTTTTGTATTCAATCTATTACCATATATTTCACACAAACACACACATACACGATACAAATACATATGGTGTGAATATTCACTCTCTCATTCTTTCATTTTCATTTAATAACCATTAAGGGTAGAGAATAGAGAATAAGAAGAAGCACCTTTAGCCCAGGGTGGCGGAACGATTTTCCTGTAGTAGAAAGTAGGGGTAGGGAAAGTAGAAAAGGTAGGCGGGGTGGTGTCGAAGATCTAGAGCAGATAGGACTACCAACACCCTCCCCCTTCCCTCCTCTCCTCTTCTCTTCCTCTTCCTCTTCCTTTACCAACCTACCTACCTACCATCACCGCCAGCACTATATTGATGAGGTGGCTCTCCGCGTATTGATTCCGCCACGCACACATAAACACACACACAAACACATACACACACAGGGTTGCTTTTACCAAGCCCTGGAGAACTACGAAGCACCCTGCAGACCCCTTTTCCTACGCGCCAGCCAGTCTCGATAAGATCCTACAGATAAGGCATGATTACACACCGCACCGAACCCCGTTCAACTCAACCCAACTCAACCCCAAACCCCTTCCCAAACCACTCCAACTCATACCTCACCCTGTTCTTCTCTTCCTCCTCCTCCTCTTCTTCTTCTTCTTTTTCTTCTTCTTTTTCCACCTTCTCACGACAGACCAACCCCTAACTCCTAAACCCCCATCACGTCTCCTATGCTTTCTAACCCCTTACACGTTCCCTCTTCTTAAACAGGGTAAACAACGTTCTTTCTTTTTCTTTTTCTCTTTCTTTTTCTATATCAACGTATGTGTCGCGTCTTCATTTCGAAACAAAATTCTAGACTGACACGTGAATTTTTATAATGGCCGTCGTATGGTTCTTTTCTTTCATACCATAGTAAAATAATAACTAACTATGTCGCGATGTGTATAATTTATCTCGAGTGGTGGTGGTATTAAAGACTCCCCTCCCCCCGCCCCCCCTAAATAAAATTTTATCTAACGATACACAATATAAAAATAAACAAATGTGTATCTATCTCATCTTCTTTTTTTTCTTCTTCTTCTTTTAAGAACCGATAAATGTAAAACTTTATATAAGTAAGTCCCATTTTCTTCATAGTTCTTTCCTTTAATCCCCTTGATACCTAAACGTTTCTGCCCATTATATATGTTAGAAAGAAATTTGACAATGATTCGGTCCATTAGATATCTATATAATCTTTTTGAAAACTATTCAACTATGACAATACGTTCAACGTTCTGTTCCCATTCATAAGGAAAAAAAGAAAAAAAAAAAAAAAGAATCTGTGTCCTTGCTATTCTTGTTTCTTTTTTTTTTTTTTATTTTATTCTGTCAAAGCAGTGTCATCTTGAGAGAAGGGTGGATACGGATGGGGGGGGGGTTAAGTGGTGCTTTCGGAAGGGAGAGCGAGTGAAAAAGGGGGCGGCGGGGTACTAGGAAATAAGTATGGGAGGAAGGGTGATGATGTTTTATACTAAATAGAAAGAGAGAGGAGGATCGGCGGGGGTGGGTAGAGGGAGGGAGGAGGGTGGAAGCAACACCGGAAACTTCTCAATGCTTGTAACAATCAGTGTGTGTTGTGTTATGTTGTTGTTGTTGTGTTATTGCGTTTACAAGTACATCGAAACAATAGGCACTTTAATATGAGGGGGAAAGGGGGTTGAAAGATTCTAAGGATAATTTTTACCACAAATTGGCCACCCTCTTTTTTTTTCTTTTTTTTTTTTTCTGGATGATCCTACGTGATCAAGTGTGTTATTATTGGGCGAAGTCATGCATCGTCATACACATACACATTTGCAATCCAATAATTAATTTTTATTTATTTATGTGTGAATCACACATATATATATATATATATATTATATTTTTCTTAAATTTCAATTAAAATTAGAATTAGTTCTTTTTAATTAGAATCAAAATGTCATATTTGTGTTCCCCTTACCTTTTAACGTTTGCTTGAATATGAAAAAAAAAAAAAAAGAAAAGAAAAAGAAGAATTTTTGTTTTTAAATAAAAAAATGTGAGAGACCGAGGGGAGAGGGTAAGCATAATACCGAGAATGTTAGAAGTATAATACTTCTGAATACACACTTCACCTATCCTATTAGTATATTATACGGGATGCGTAAGAGCGTGTGAAATAAGCCGTGGTCGGATTTTTTTTTTTTTTTTTAGAAGGACGTATAATGGATCCTCTACTTTTTTTTTTTCTTCTTCTTGCCACTCGGTGACGAAGGATGATATCACATAAATGCAGAAGATATCTCTTTCCCATATGTATATATAATTTTCTTTTACCTTTACCTTTTCTCTATCTCTCTTTCTCTCTTTCAATTTTTTTTTTTTTTTCTTATACTCAAAGTGTCGTAGGTTGTATGAGAAAAAAATAAAAGACAGAAGTAGTTTATGTGGGTAACATTTATTAAAAAAAAAAAAAAAAAAAAAATGGACACCTATCTTCTTCTATTTCTTCTTCTTCTTCTTTATTTCCATTTTCATCTTCTTGTTGAGATCAATTTGACTCTCGCGGTATTTGAAATAAGGATTAAGAAAGACCGATTTCACGCGAACCCGTGTCAGACTTGCCTTCTTGATCCTTCAAGAGAGAGAAAAATAAAGAAAAAAAAGATAGAGAGAGAGAAAGAGAGAGAGAGAAAAGGAGAAAGGGATCGATCGAACGTGTCTCGATTTTGAAATGATCGAATAAGAAACCTTTCAGATGTCTGACCATTAATAATCATAATAATTGACAACTTTTTTCCTAAACGTTCTTGCCATATAATCTTTAACCATTTAACACGTTCATTGACACATACATATATACCAAAGCAAAAAAAAAAACCCCACAACACACATACATCATACATACATAGACATAAGTATTAAAACTTATAAATAATGTATTTTCCATCGGGAAAAAATTTGCACGACACGTAATAATAATAAGAAGAAGAAGAAGAAGATGAAAAAAGATAAAAATGCATTTATTAAATGGGTCTTCGAAGGAACAGTTTAAAAAAAAAAAAAAAGAAAACAAATGTGATTTATTGTAATGAAATAATAATAGTAATAATAATAATAATAATAATAATGTTTCGTAATTGGTTACGGGTGTGATATCTCTCTGTTTTTTTTTTTCTTTCCAAAAACTGTCGCTGCAGAGTGCGGCGAGACGGGCGGGCACCAGCTGCGCGAACTGCAAAACCGGAACGACGACACTTTGGCGAAGGAATCAAGCCGGTGAACCAGTATGCAACGCTTGTGGTCTCTACTACAAACTACATAATGTAAGTACTTTTACCGATAGCCTACCGAAATATACCGCAAAACACATACGTACACACACACACACACACATATATATATCTTAACACAATCCTGGTGGTAATCGATATTACAACTGTAGATCGAATAAACGTTTTATTATCACTTCGATCAAATAAATCCTAAAAGTAACATGAAGTAACTCAACCCAACCCAACCCTCAAACCCCCATCCTTCTTCTTCGTATAAAAAAAAAGAAAAAGAAATGATTATCAGGAAGAAGGAGGAGGGATTGGATAGTTTACTCTCTCGTTTGCAGGAAACATTTCATTTAAACACCAGCAGGGAGAATAAATCTCGACTTGTGTAGTTTGTTGTTGTATCAACAATTAGGATAGAGGCTACTTTTCTGGTTAGCCGGACGTGTAGGGAGGGTGTCGTTACAAGAGTAGTGTTTTGTTCTCCATCTCTCTCTCACTCTCTCTCTCTCTCTCTTTTTCTATATCTTTCTCCATCTATCTATCTCTCTCTCTTTCGAGGGTTGCTTCGAGCGTGTTCAACGGCGTGTGACACAGGAAGTGCCGGAAGTGAGTGTGCCGTGTGGGCACGACGAAAACAATAAAACAAGAATAAAATAAAAAGGAAGAAGAAAAAAGAGCAGTAAAATGAGGAGGAGCCAGGAGGAAGAGGAGGAGGAGGGGGAGGAGGAGGAGGAGGAGGAGGAGGAGGAAAGGGTGCGACGAAGAACTGCAAGGAGAAAAAGAAAGAGAGATAGAGAGAGATTTTTTATGGATACATGGTCAACTTGTTTTTAACAGATCAACCCCCTCCTCCTCTTCCTCCTCCGTTCCTTTTTTTTCTCTTTTCCACCCCCCTACCCCACCCCCATACAATCTAACATAAAGATTGTAGACAAATTGTAGACAAATTGTTAACAATTGCAATACGATACTCGAATAAGCAAAGGGACTAGAGTTTGATGATTGGGTAAGGGGTGGGGGTTGGGGGGTTGGAGAAGCTTTGACATCGTATATATTTCGATGGGACCCAAAATCTGGGACCGGCGGTCGGTCTTTGTCGGCGCCATCGTCGTCGTCGTCCTCGTTGTCTACGCTTTTGAGAAACTTTGTATCGAGTGACACGCCGTCCACGGATCACTGAAAAATACAAAATAGAAAAGAAAAGAATGGAAAAGAAAGAAAGAAAGAAAGAAAGAAAAAAAAATGAGAAGAGGGGGGGATAATACGTACCTAAACAAGAAGAATATCCATTACAGGAGGAGTGAGTAGTTTAGTCCCTTTAAAATTTATTTTATTCTTCCCTTCTATTTTTTTTTCTTTTTTTTTTTTTTTTTTTAACGTTGTATCGAAGAAGAAAAATCGTAGATTAGATCTAAAAGGAACAAATTTTCTATCAACAAAAACAGGCAGGGGGATGGAGGAGGAGGAGGAGGAGAAGGGGGAAATACGTCATTTCGTCATAATTTACACTACGATATAGTTTATATTTGTATAGAAAATAAAATTAGTTTGTTAAGTTTCTTTTTTTTGTATTTTTGTTTAAACGAACACGAGACGCGTAAGACGAAAAAAACGTTGCTGTGCGATAGAGGGTGAGAGATAGAAAGAAGGGGGGAGTGGAATGGGAGTGGTATGGGATGTGGGATGGGGTAAAAGATTAATTCGCGATACGCGCTAATTGGCTCGCGATTTTACCCACAGCTTCCTTCGTAGGACACATTCGTCATTCCTTCTCTTTTCTTTTTCTTCGTTTTATCCTTCCCCACCTCCCTTCCGCCACCCTTTTCATCTCTTTCTATTTCTCTTTTCTCGAAACGTTCAGTTACATATTAAACACAACAGTGAGCTTTCTGTTTTCTCGTAAGCGTGTTTTATCGAAGGAAAATGAAACAAGGCACCTCGCTGTGTGTGTTGTAAACCAAATATCACTATCATCATCATCATCATCATCATCATCATCATCATTCTCGTTTTTTCTCGCTACATAACTGCGCTACAAATCTTAACCCAACCCTAACTCTTTCCTCCTTCCCTCCACCCTCACCTTACTTACTACCTACCACCCCTTCCTTCTCTTTCAATGAGAAATTCAAACGAGAGATACGAATTTATACGTTACCCCCGTTTATTATTATTATTATTATTATTATTTTCGTTTTTCCCTTATTTATTATTATCGGTCACTTCAAATCTAATCTCAACAATCAAATCGAGAATAAACGGAGTGTGGTGGGGTTGGGGTGGTAGGGTGGAGGTGGACGACGACAAAGTGGCTCAGTGTTGATGATGGTTACGTTTTAGTTTAAAACTATTTTAAGTTGAAACCGTCAATTAACATCTCTCCCTCCCCGATGATCTTACAATTAGATTATTCTGTACGAAAATAATTTAGGATACGTTAAGGGGGCAACGTACTTTGCCAAATATACTATCTCTCTCTTACACATATATATACACACACACACATTCCTGTTTCTTACTTATGCTTGTTTCCTTGGTATTTTGTTTCTTGGGATGGGATAGGGTGGGGCGGGGTGGGGTGGGGTGTAAGGTTTTTTTCTTTCTTTCCTTTCTTTCTGTTCTATTCTATCCTGCAGTTGGGGGCTTTTATCAGGTTCGATCTTTTAAGGGAGGAGAAAGGGTAGAACAGGGGGCTCCAGGGGAGAGTAAGGTAGAAGAAGAGGGGGAGGGGGTGGATGTACTCGGCCATTGCCGGCGCGTCGCGCATAAAGCGAACACGTTTCCTGGTAATCATTAATTAAGCGAAGAGCTTCCCTTCTTCCGTCGCTAAACACCACGAACGAACGAACAGTCGCGCGCGTTTTCCTAGAAGGAATAAATTCAGGATCTATCTCTATCTCTTTCACTTTGCCCTTTTTCTCTTTTTTTTACTTGCACGGTCCTATCCGTCTGAATCTTACTCGCAATTTTTTATTCCCCCCCTCCCCCCATTATCTCGAAAGATTTTTCTCTTAAGTTTCACTCTTCCCTTTTTTTTTTTTGAGTTAAAACTTGTGTTATATTTGTTTTTTTTTCTCGGTTAATAATAATTGATTTATTTTTTCCATACTTTTTGCACATTATTCTATTCGTTTTCTTTTTTTTTTTTATAATGTACAATTATACACGAAATTGAATTATTATTATTGAAGTTATACGTTTCTTTTGGCGCGCGTTTTGGGAAAGTGAAGTTAGATGCGACCGAAATATCGACACCCACGAAGTTGTCGATATTTACACTAGGCGCGCGCAAATTGAAGTTATTTTTGAGGTTATGTTCGTTTTGGTATACGCTAAAGAAGTATAACTTCTTAAGTGAGTACATAAGTACACACACATCAGTTTATTATTATTATTATTATTTTATTTTGAAATGAATTCTTAATATTTTAAATCATTATATTCGGTATCGTCTCTCTCTCTCTCTCTCTCTCTCTCTCTCTCTCTCTCTCTCTCTCTCGTGTTTTATGTGAAAGATTATTGAGAATGATTTTCTCCTTTTTTTTTTGTATATTGAAAAGGATGGAATGCGGAACGTAATTCCTTCCTATGTTCAAAACAAGTTAGAATTTCTTTTGGATAGATCCCTATGCGTGGTGGATCTATGGATGATCCACACCACCTTGGGGAAAAGGGGGATAATGTTTCGTTGACGTTAAGCCGACGGATTACGGTCACAAGATCAAATCGAAGAATAAAGTAGAAGAAGAAGAAGAATTCCTTTTTACTTTTGCGCTCTTCTGTATTTCTTTTTTTTTTTTTATTATTATTTTTTTTTCCCCTGCCCTTTCCCTTCTTTCTTTTCTTTTTTCTCGATTGTGTATTTTGAATGTGATTTTGTGGATTCTCTTTTTTTTATTTATTTATTTTAATTTATTAGATTATTCTGCGTTATTCGTCACATTTTTATCTCGATACTCAATTAAATTTCATTAATTGGAACACAAAAAGAGTATAATTTTAAGAGAATTTAATAATAAAAAATATATATTATAGTTTGAACTCTATATAATAATATATAATAAACGGAATCCTGTGTGTGTGTGTGTGTGTTCGATTAAATTTTGTTCGATCATTTTCATAAGAGATTCGTAGAACACATAACTATTTCTTTTTTTACCTAACGTTCAATCATTTCTTTCTCCCTTTTCTTTCTTATCGTTGAGAGAAAAAAAAGGGGGGGGGAAAAAAACAAGAAAAAGAAACAATGATCAAGAGACCAATCATTTCCAAAGCAAATGAAAAAAGAAAAAGAAAAAAAAAAACAAGAATAACGCAAAGTACTACATTATAAAAACGGTGGTGGACCCTCGCGAATAAGATAAACCCTTAACGTAGAAATTTGTCATTTCGCGTGGAAAAATAGACGTACGTAAATCTTTTTACCCCGAGAACGAACGTTTGCCTTTTATATTTCACATTCTACGATCGAAAGAAAAAAAAAACACACGCCATTTCGCGTGACGAGTTTTTTTTTCTTTTTTTTTATTCCCTTTAAAAAGGAAACACAATAAATTCGCACGATCGCAAAAATCTTTCAAATCTTTTCCCTCGTTAACTTATCATTTATCCTAGGATACGTAAAATCGTTTATTTAACCCTTTTTTTTTTTTTTACAATTTTCATATTAATTCTCGAACCGCGACCCCTCGACGACGATCGAAACACCCCTCCCTCCCTCCCCCCTCCCTTTTTCTATTAAAACATACTACTACACAATCTTTCTTGAATTGTGACCGTTTTTTATCATCAAGAGCAGAATATCTCTATAGCTATAATAGTGTTTTGACGATTTAATTTTTTTTTTCCTTATGTTATAAATTTATTTGCATTGTTTCCATAGCGAGGCCCTTAAGTGTAAAGGGTTAATATAATAAATACAATCGATGATCATCATTCTTAGATTAAAGTCACAATCAAAAATCATTTGATATAAAATCAAATCAAATCAAATATATACACGAGATTATTCGAATTGCAAAGTAACATGATGTTAAGAATAA